ACCAAAAAAGTTATTTTGATGAGAGTTTATGAAAAATCTAATGCATTTATTTCATTAACTCAATCAGATAAACGATTTTTTTAAAAAGGCCATTATTATTCATTAGCTAGATTGATTGTTGGACAATTAGACAATAATACAAAAGAAGTATTATATTATTCAGGCTCAGCTTTTGATAATTAAAGAGATATTGTAGTTGAAAAAGAATTTGAACCTGGCTATTATGCATTGTTTGTTGAAGTAGATTGGGAATAGAATTATGATCGATATTTAGCTATTTTCTGTTATGGTTCTAAATCAGTTTAATTTTCTGAATTATAATTTCCAGCTGGTCAGGAAAAATAGACGATAAATAAAATTTTTGATGGATTTTTAAGAGCGCACGAGAGAGATACAGATGAAGAAAAGGTTAAGGATATTGAAACTGGTATACGAAGAATTTCTGGTTTTGTTGCAGATTATCTTTATTATTGGTATCAAAATACAACAACCAAAAAAACCTTAAAGGAAGATCTTAATTTAGATAAAATATAAAATTTAGAAATATGCTCTCCTTATTCAAATCCACAAAAAGTTGAAATTGAGTGTAAGTCTCTCTCTACTGTTATGGTTAAATTCAGAGTAACTAAAAAGGGTGGAGGTTCTTTTGGATATACTCTAAAATGTCAAACTCAGGTTTTTGAGGCCAAAACCGAATAATAAACTCTTAAAGAACCAGATTAAAAAGCTTAAAGAAATATATAAGGAAATGTATAAAATATTTTAAATTATTAAGAATATACAAGTTTACTTTTATCTTGCAAAGTTTCCTGCAGGAATTGCTCTCTTTTATGAAAATAAAGAATCTAAAACATATTAAGAAAGAATTTAATTTGAAGTCACTAACTTGAAAGGAGTTGGAATAGATATTTCTAAGGAAGTAGTTTTAGAAATACCTTCTGGACAATCAAAATTAATTTAATTGCGATCAATTGATCCAACAAAAGGATATTCATACAATCAAATGATCACTTTTATGTTAAAATGAAAAATAATATGGCAGTCAAGCATCACTTATATAATTTTAAATAATTAATAATATTGTTTGGTTAGGTTTAACCTGCAGATATTGACCCGAAATAAAATAAAACAAAAAATCTAATACTCTCTTAAAATCATTAGCTAAGCATTCAAAAAATTATTAGAAATGACAAATATTTACTTCTAATTTATTTGAATAGATTTGCTAAAATATAAATATCTTTTAGGATTAGTAAGAGGATCTTAAAAATTATAATAACTTATGAAGGAAAAAGTTCATTTAATTATTAAAGATTCATATTTAGCAGTACATATTTGACGAGAATCAATTTACTTTTAAGGTTTAACCTCCTCATAACTTACATCAGGCGAGACACTTTACTTCCTTATAAAATCATTTAATTTTATTTCAGATTATAAAATGTAAAGAACTTAGCAATTTTGCTTAAGATTAAATAAAAAAACAGGATTATTTTAGCATAATGAATATAGATAAAATTAGTTAATTATTTGTAAATTAAATTCTTATTTTTTGAATGTAAAAATATTGGCGAAGATCCATATATTTTTGAGAACATGAAAATTACAGAGCAGATATTATTTATATATCTATGTTTCGAATAATTTCTTTTAAGCAAAATTATGCTTTAAAAAATTTACTTAATTATTTTGAAATACATACATGCAAATAAGATCCATATAAAGTAAAGTGCTATCTTGAAAAAAGAATTCTACAAAGTTTGCTGTTCTGTAATACTAGATAGCAGATAATGTTCATAAGGAAATTGCAACATAATTTTAGTCAGACGCTGAATAAAGAGCAGGAATTTATATTGATGGTTTATCATCTACTACTTTGAATATAGAAATTAGGAATATAAGTGCTTAAAAAATATTTTGTAGACAAATTTGAAAATTTCACAATTAACTCTAAAAGATGTTTTTGCTCAATAAGGATCTGCTTTTTACATTTCTTATTCATAATTTTTAGATAAACCTTAAACTCTCTAGGTCTCAAATCTCTAAGTTATTAATTCCTATGAGGGTTATATTTAATTTTTAAATAAATTTATAGTTTAATCAATTACTTAAATTTATTTTTTAACTTTAGAATCCTTTCTTATTTTATGTTAAGTTAGATAAGTCTCTTTATCAAATATATATTCAAGATTCACACATCAATAATAATTTGATTACAATAACTCCATTTAAAAGTAATTAACTAGAATTAATTATGTAAAATTTTCACATAACTCAAATCTATATGGGATTTCATTTCACTAATTTTACCTGTACTATAAAACACTTTAAGAAAACAATTAAAGATACTAATGTTTAAAGGATTTAGTAGGAGCTCCATCACTTTTAATTGATGATCAAGATTATGATAATTACGAAAACGCATTTTGGGTATATTTAGAAATAGACAAATATGTAGAATTGTCTAACTCTGGATTAATAATGCTTTATGATCTTACTATCCTAGATACAATTTCAATTATATTTATATCGTTTTGCATTAGATTGATATAATCTAATAAAGTGAATCCTATTGCCAATAACAAGATAAGGCACTCAACAGTAACTTCATCAATCTATTAAATTTGATTTTCTGTGAAATAGATCTAGTAACTCTACATTTCATACTCAAATTGCACCATTGTAGTAATCATATACTCCTACCATTAACAGAGGGTATAATAAATCTAGATGCTTGTAAGAGGAGTTAAAA